TACTCAAACTTAAAAATAAAAATCTAATTCAAAAACAAAAAATCTAAATCTTAAAAAGATATCATGCAATAATTAAATGAAATCTAACTCAAATTAAAAATTTTATTTAATTAAATTATATATACATATATAATATTATATACTAATTTCAGTTATTAAAAAAAATAATAAATTGCAAAATTGGATTTCTCGTTCCAACAATACCATCTTTTTTTCAGATTTTGTACAAATTGTTTAAAACATTTTAAAATTGTTTCAAATGTTTTTAGCATTATGTGCCTAACCAACTAACCAATAAATAACAAACATTTTTAAAAAAGTAAATTTTTTGTGATCCTGCACAATTTGTGTTGTGACTAAAGCGTTCTGACTTTGCTTACACAAGGTATGATGGGAAGAAATTAGCTTTTTTCTTTTCTTTTTAGGGACATTTCCTCCCACTTTATTACACTTGTGGTGTAACAAAATTGCTTATAAATGTCTTGTGCTATATTATTGGATTCAATCTTTTTGTTTGTGTTCTTCCAGTTAGGACGGGTTTTGTATGTCTTTTTGGAGCTGCCTGAACGCAGACCTCATTGATGAGTGGAAAAAAGAAGAAGCTTTATTTGTGGATCATTTAGGAAATACTCCCTCAAAAACTGAGGAGCATAAGCTCAGATCATTGAGGCTTACGATCAATCAGATCCTAAAAGAAATACAAAACCTGTGCTAATTGGAAGAAAACCAGTTGACCAAGTGATTTCTCAGAGGTGGGTCATCTTTGTCTGGGAACACCAACTGAGATAAACTTGAAAAATTCAACACACCCTTTTCTTGATGAACTTGAGGGCACGTTTGTCCTTGGACACCTTCAGCAGCTCCATAGCGCGCCTCTCGTAGGGCGCGAAACCGCACACCTCGCGGATCATGTCGCGCACGAACTTGGTGTGTTTGGTCAGATGCTGAAACGCAAGAACAAGGTCACGTTAAACGCGATTATACTGGTATAATATTGTGCATATGGCAGTGCATGACGGGAGAAATCCCACGGTTTCTGCAGGTTTTACGACGGCAAACTTAAGATATAAGAGCAAACCGAAAGGAACACAATATGTCAATATGCTCTTGTATTAGCAGGACTAGTTCACTTCCAGAATAAAAACGTCCTGGTAATTTATTCTCCTCCATGTCATCCGAGATGTTCACGTCTTTCTGTCTTCAGTCGCAAAGAAATGAAGGTTTTTGAGGAAAACATTCCAGGATTTTTCTCCATATAATGGACTTCAATGGAGATCATTGGGTTGAAGGTCCAAATTGCATTTTAAATGCAGCTTCAAAGAGCTGGTTTCACTAGATAAGACTCTTATTCCTCGGCTGGGATCCTGTCAAGCTCTTTGAAGCTGCACTGAAAATGTGATTTGGTCCTTCAACCCAATGATCTCCATTGAAGTCCATTATATGGAGAAAAATCCTGGAATGTTTTCCTCAAAAACCTTCATTGCGACTGAAGACAGAAAGACGTGAACATCTCTAATTACCTGGGCTGCGTTTTCCAAAAGCTTCGCAAGCCTAAGTTGTTTGTAAAAACGATTGTACGACTGATCTTAATACAGGGTTTCTGCAGACATGAACAAGTTAAATTTAAGACTTTTTAAGACCTTTTTAATACCACCTTATATGAAATTTAAGACCTAAACCTGTAATGGAAATACACATTTTATTACATACATATATGTAATATTTAATGTGTATAAATTAAAAAGAAAACAAAATATCAATGCTGTAATAAATGGTATTTATTACTATGATATACAGTGAACTTTTCATGTCAGCAGACAATATTCCATACAAAATATCTTCGCAAAATAACTGCATCACTGAGATTTTTGGTGGAGTAAACATTCTGCAGCAATATTTTCATCAATGTTCTATCAGCTTTTACATACTTAAATCTGCATATTTACCTTTACAAAGGCCTATTTTTAACCTTTTTAGATGTATGCATCATCTTACATGTCAAATTATTACAATTTATCAATAAATTCAACATACACTATAGGGCTGCTACCAGTCAGATTAAATAATTTACACTGCAAATAACAATAATTACAACTGCAATAAATAATGTTATGAGATTAATGTTTTAAATGCATTTATGAATATACAAATAAGAAATGTTGAGGGGAAAAATGCATACTTCTCAACTAAACGACCAGTAAGTGACGGTAAGACACTTAATAAGTGAGTCATTCATTCAACTGACTGAGTGTGTTATCATGCTGCTATCTTAAGGACATTCGTGGACAGCTGACTCCTAAAGTTTTTGATATTCTTCATATTCTGTGTGGTGGTCAGATAAGTTTAAATAGATTTTTACCTTTTATGGGCATTTTACCTTAATAAAGCCATTTTTCTATAAGTGTGCATTATCCAAAATCATCGTAGATCTACGAGTGCTCTGGAGTAATCGTAAGAAGACAGATTTATGCGGTCACCTGCAGGACAATCGGCAGCACCTTTAACTTTATCCAAGTGCAATGTGATTATAATATTAAGTTTTGATTGTACTTTATTGTACACTTTATTACTCGAAATGAATTTATAAATGAAATAATTAAAAAGGGCAGAAAAAATTGAAATACACATCAAAATTGAATGACTGCACACAAAAAAAATGAATAAAAGTAGTAATGTAGGAAATATACTTCAAAGACTTGCGGGAAAAAATCTGTCAGTGACTTACTGACGTGCACGAAAACCAATGTATTGGACCCGGAAATAACGTCTCTATATAGATATTATATATTTTTGTATAAAGTATATTATGTAAAGTATAATATTATACGTATAAATGTAATATAATATAATAGTTATTATATCCGAGTTGTCTGGAACACAGCATTAGGTTAACATTTCAATAAACGAGCGTTTACTACAATTACGAGCCATAATATAAGGTGACATTTCAGCACTTGACAAACGGATAGCGACTCCTAAGTAGCGCGCTAAAAGCTACGTGCGATTGCGTTAAGTGCATTTTTGGGAAACGCGCGTGAAACAATAACGAACGATCGTAAAATGACTCGTAGAAAACGCTCTTAAGCGCTAAGATCAACCGTTATCAGGAAACGCAGCCCAGGACGTTTTTATTCTGAAAGTGAACTAATCCTTTAAATTTGGAAAACCTTAATTAATTTTACAAAAAAACCTAAGAACGCAAACATTTTTTACATTTTACGTTCTTCCTCATCGTCTCATTTTCCAGTGCAAATGTCTAAAGATGCATTTATTTGAAGCAAAATCAAAGTAAAATTCATTAAAATGGACTAAATTAAGAACAAATATCTGCCAATGGGAACGAGTCCTCATACACAGATACTTGCTCTTGTTTAAAGCATAAACTCACTTCATTCTGCGACTTAGTTTGTACCTTTAATTATTGTTTTGTTAATCAAGACATAAACACTGTGAAAGATAATCATTTTTTTGCAGTGTATGCAACATGAATATGACTTTAAGACGCTCCGCTCTGATTTCAGAAAGCTTGAATTCACCGAAACTAGTTCGATAGTCAAACCAATCTTTAAAATGAGTGTCAGATGTGGACTCACTCCTCTTCTGCGGCTCTGCTTGGGCTTGGTAACGTTTTTGGTCACTGGATAGCCTTTATTAAGGCCAACTGCCATAGGATACCTGATGGCCATGTCTGAGGAGAGAGAAAAACCGCATTTTAATACAAAATTATAGACAGTTACTGTATGAAAACACTGTTATGTGTGCTGAGGCGGCTACAGAACAGCTTAAAGTCATTATATAGCAATATTCCATAATAAGGGCGAATAATTTCACGTTTTGGGTTTTAGATTATATATATTATGACGGTTGAGAATCGCAACTACTCGGAGTGAAAGGCTGAAAAACGAACAAACATCGCGCTCCAAGTTCACAATAACGGTCGGAAATCACTTGGTATAGTTTATATTTACTAAAGCAAGAGATTTTGTGATGATTTGAGACGCGATGGATTAGATATCAACGTGATTTTATCACTCGCGATTCTCCGGCGATTCTTACCTGCGTTTTGCTAATGGCGTCCAAACCGGAAGGACCGCTGCGAGGCGGAAGCTGATCACTCACACGCGACAACAAGAAAAGAGTTCGCGGGAAAAATAAGTGGCGCCGCCTAGAAGAGAATCAAAGATCTTTCGGAGCTTCGTTTTTACAAAAACAACATCTAGACCGGTGTGTTGAGAGATTATTATTTTTAATGCATGTGTTTTTCTCCCCTAATAATAATAGAACCATTCGATAGAGTAAAATCAATATGACAATCAAATCACATTTTATTTTCATTCTGCATTCTTTCTCGAACTAAAAAAAGAATTAATAATAATAATAAAAAAGAATATGGCACATGTTTGGAAATTAATGCTTATTTTTTATATGAATTATAAATTTTTTATATTTATATTATTTTGTTGGATGTTATTTAAAAAAGCTTTTATTAGATTTTTAAACGCATTTAAGTGCCTTATAAAGTCTATTTCCTTGGTTGTTTTGTAGTATTGGTGTAGTATTTTTTATTTTAGTTTCAAATTGCACTGAAATTTAAAAATTAATGCGTGAATTATGAGCCACAAACAAAAGTAAAAAATATGGACAAAACACAAAAACCTACTATGAAAAATCACAACAGAAAAAAAGAAAAAAGCATAGAATAAATATAGTATAATATAATATAATAAAATCTTTTCCACCTCGTTGTAAATATGGATAAAACTCAAAAACGAAATATGAAAAAACACAAAAGAAAAAAAAAAAGAAATGCGCTAAGGCTCTTCGAAAATCTAAACAATAATAATATAATATAATATAAAAATAATGACAGTAATGACACTAAAACAAATTTCCACCTCGTTGTTTGAGGCTTTTGGAGTTTCGGACTACAACTCCCATGACCACTTCGGCTGAATTTTGGCGCGGTTTTACGTTAGCGGCGGCCATTTTCTTTTCATACCTCTGTTTCAGAGACAGCCAACCAGCACTCGGACTACAAAACACGGATTCATTCAAAAAACTCCGCAAACAAAAACTTCCAAACACACCGGAAAACCGTTCCAAGTTCCAAGCGGAGGCCGCTGCGTACACCGGGCCGAAGTGGAACACGGAGGAGTGTTTATTTGAGCTGAAGTGGGTCTGTAGCGTGAAGCGATATGGCGACCGCAACCCCGAGCCGCGAGTCGAGCCGAGCGACGGCCGCCCAAACGCCGCTGAGCCCCGCGCGGATCTCGCGCCTGCAGGAGAAAGAGGACCTGCGGGCGCTCAACGACCGCCTGGCCGTCTACATCGACCGCGTGCGGTCTCTGGAGCTCGAGAACGACCGGCTGCTCGTCAAAGTGTCCGAGAAGGAGGAAGTCACGACTAGAGAGGTGCAGAGCCTTCTTCTTCTTCTTCATGTTTTATGGCGGGTGAAGGTGCAGAGCCGTTCCTTTGTGCTGCTTTTACGGTCGATAAATCTGCCTGTTCAGGCGCAGAGTTGTTCCAAAGCGTTAAAGTGCCACATTTTCCTTTTATTCGGTGTTAATTCGGATTTCTAGCTGACATTGCGTGTAGATTCAGTGCTTTTAGTGTGCGTTAAATCTATAAAACTTTACCAGTGTGTTGAGTGATGGCACAACATTTGAAAAACCGCGCTAGGAAGTTATGCATTTGGACACAATCAAGCCTGTGCATTGAAAACCGTATTTTGCATATACAAATCCATGCACATAAATGCATTGTATGTGAGCTCTATAAAATGCACGCAGGGAGTGGGGCCAGTAAACTGTGTCCATATGCCTCTAATTTGTGCGTTTTATTTTTATTTATGCATGAGCTGATCTCTTAGTTATGTATGTATGTGTTCAAATGCATGTAAAAGCACGTTAAAAGTGTGCGTTTAGCGTGATTCCTGGACTTTTGAGTGTTGTCCTGGTGTCTTTGGGCGTTTTCCTCAAAGTTTGGGAGTGGCCAAATGCACTTTTCAAAATTTGAATCTGATCTCCATCTGCTGCCTTTGTTTTGAATGGGGACCACATCAAATTTCCCCCCATTATATATCAGAAATACAAAAAAAAAAAGTTTGAATGCAGTTTAAAGGGATAGTTCACCCAAAAATGAAAATGTGATGTTTATATGCTTACCCCCAGGGCATCCAAGATGATCACATTTTCATTTTTGGGTGAACTATCCCTTTAACGTCTCGCATCGTCGTTTAAAAGCATTCTGACATGCACATGTTAAGTCATTTCCACTCAAACTGAGTTTATTTACAAGTAATGTCTGATAGTAGTTGCTTAAGGTTTTCATTTGAGACTTGTAGGGTCCTTAAATCATCAAGTAGCTTGTTATAATGTGTTTGAATCAGTGTTTGTAGCATCATTGATGCAGTTTTCGTTAATATTTCGAATTAGATTTAATTCAGACTTTTTTTCTCAGAATTGCACGTTTATTTCTTGTAATTCTGTGTTTACATCTCTGATAGTCAGAATTGAATGAAATTCTGAATTATTAATTTTTTATAGTATGTTTCCAAATATTATTGGCAATACAATCCTTAAAATAATATATAAAAAAAGCTTTTATTAGGTTTATTTAGATTTTTTAAATGTCTTTCAGTGCCTTATCAAGTCTATTTTTCCTTGGTTGTTTTTGTAGTACTGGTGTAGTATTTTTTTATTTATTAGGCCTATTCGTGTTAGGAAAAAAAACATTATTTGTGAAATGTAAAAAAATCAATGTGTGAATTATGAACCACAAACAAAAATAAAAATATGGACAAAACACAAAACCTAATATGAAAAATCACAACAAAAAAAGAAGAAAGCCTATAGTAAATATAATAATAATAATTAATAATAATAATTTATGCATTTAGCAGACGCTTTTATCCAAAGCGACTTAAAGTTCATTCAGGCTATACACATTTTTTACCAGTATGTAATATAAATAAATATAATAATAATAATATAAATATAATATAATAGGCTATATAATATAAAAAATCTTTTCCACCTTGTTGTTTGTGAATTATAAGCCACACACAAATGTAAAAATATGGCGAACTCAAACGAAATATGAAAAAACACAAAAAGTAAGTGTGCTAAGGCTCTTCGAAAATATAAACAATAATAATAAATTAACAATTATTGTTGTTTTTTTTGCCATGGAAATGAGCTTCCATATATTTTTTGTTATTGTTCTGTTTTCACTTTCATTTAAAGTTTTTGTAATTTGTCGTGAGTTTTTGTCATTTTTAGGCCCAATCCCAATTCTGTTTTATACCCCTTCCCCTTCCCCTTCCCCTTCCCCTACCCCTCCGCCTACCCCTTCCCCTTGTCCCTTGAAACAGAGTTGAAGGGCTGTCTGGCCCTACCCCTACCCCTCCAACCAAAAGAGATTCGAGACACCCCTACCCCTTCACGTGAACGCGCGAAACGGAGGGGTAGGGCAAAGGGGTAGAATTGGGATTGGGCCTTAATGTTTATATTGTATTTATTAATATTTATTCATTTTAGTTTTAGTATTTCAACTTAAACTAAATTAAAATTATAGTATAGTATTTAAAAAAAAAATTTTTTACTTGTTTTAGTGTATTTTGTTTTATTGAAGTACTTCAACTTAATTTAAATAAAAATAAATAAAATAAGCATATTTCTTACTTTTATAAAATAAACTTAAAATAAGTTTTTAATAACTTTTTAAAAACTTTATTTCAGTTAATGTTTATTTTCTTTCAAATAACGAAAGTGTGTTTTTTTTCTGCTTTTATTTAACGATAATACCTCTGGTTTGAGGGTCGACGGTGTGTCGATCTCTGACTGATGGCGTGTTTTTCGGTCAGGTGTCTGGGATTAAGTCTCTTTACGAGGCCGAGCTCGCGGACACCAGGCGTGTGCTTGACGAAACGGCACGTGAAAGAGCCAAACTTCAGATCAATCTGGGAAAAGCCAACTCTGAGCTCGAGGAGGTCACCCGCAAGTGAGTATTACTCAAAAACACACTTGTGATGTGAAAAGACCAGGTGAGTCCTTATTCCACTTTTATAAAAACTGATAGTTCCGGTCCTTGATTCTGATTGGCTGAGCCGCGTTTGAAGCTGTTGTAAATTACTCTACAAACATACACCTTTGTTTACATTTGTGTGTTGCTCGGCAACCACTTTGTTGGAACCACAACTGTTTCTGAGGAACTACATTGTTTGGTGGAAGAATACTGTTTTTATTAATATCATTACACTTTATTTGCTCTGTTTTATTCTGTGAAACCTTACTA